AAGAGTTTTAAGAGATTTTAAGAGTTTTAAGAGTTTTTAAGAGTTTTTAAGAGTTTTAGCCAAATGCTTTATAAGATAGTATAGATAATAGATAACAATGAATGCAATTGACATAAAAATCAATCATTACCTATACCATATTAAAAACGAGAAGTTATAGTTTTTCATAAAAAACTTAAGAGGTGCAAAATCTGATGCTAGATGAACAACTCTTAAAGCAGCTTTTTTATTTCAAGATGCGGTTGTCTTTCAAGAGTACTAAATTTTTATGTCCAGTGTGCAACTTGTTTAAGCCGTGTGAACACCAACGCCGACACCCACGCCCACGATCCCTGCCCTCTCTGCTTCCCACTTTCAGTAATATCTCTAAATGCCTTCCTATCTAGGTTGGGATGAAATCCCTATTCCTACTCTCTCTGTTTCCTCTTCTCTTCCTTTATTTTTGCTGGTTTTGGTGGTTCTCTCCTTGGCTATGATGTCTGCATCCTCTGGTCAGTTTATCTCTCCCCTTTTTTTTGTTTTTTCTACTAACACAATAGCTCACCGACTACGAGAATTGAAACCCGATGTTCGATAAGATTTCTATGACTGAGGCGAAGGGCATCTTGCTCGGCCTTACATGTGTGTGTGATTTAGTTTAATTGTTCATAATTTTTCCGTCAGGTTGAATGATAAACCATTTTTTTTCACATGGCTTAGCTCTTTCGAAAGATGAACCGAAACTCCCATGTTTCTAGGTTTGCGAGTTTATTATTTACTCTGGCATGCTTTATTAAAAATGAGTAAGTTAGAGTTTTAAGCATTTCATTGTCTCTTATGATTATTGATTCTCAATCGTTTCAGTCAATTTTAGGAGGTTTACTATCTCTATTAAAAGTATAAACTAGGGTTTATTGTCTGAAATGAACTTGATGGTTGTTTAGATTAGTAACTGAGACCTTTTGGTCAGGGATCTAACTTATTTAAAATAATTACGGGTTATAGCCAATAAACAAGTCATTTAGTTAAATTTGACAAACAAGACTTATCAACTTCATTAACATCTTTTCTTTTGTGATGTATATGGTGATTTCCAGGTGGACATTTCCTTCGGTCGCTTTCTATTTTGGGGTATGAAATGTAAATATTTTGGGGTATGGACGATAGCATGCATTCTGTCACCACCATTCTCCGTTTTGTCGATGTGGTCTGAATCGCCCGGTAAGTTGTGCGCTACAAAGTTGTCTCCTGTCTCAGTTACTTCTTTTTTAAGAAATGGGGCAATTTTTTAAGATAAAAATAACTTTACCGTGCATGTCCATAGTATCGTATCAATCATTTTTTTACTTTTTCCTTTTGAACTACATTTAACTTTCTTCTGAAGCAACGTCTTATTTCTCACTTTTTTATTTGCTTAGTGGCTTAGCTACAAATATGCACGTATTTCCACGTTCCAGATAGCTTTGGATATATTCCAACATTTCGTCATGCATTTGTTTCGTAACCTCTAGGAACTAGGATATCAGATAATATTGCAATATGCTATGCTTAAGGTTCAGAGATATGTCTTTTAGAGTTTTAACGATTCATTAAACTACGATGCAACGTTAATGCTTACAGCTTACTGTTTTGCATCGAATGTTCTTTCCAACAGTCGTTGGAAAGTAAGTGGGCACCATGCTTGAAGTTCTTTTGGCAAGACACTTCTGATACCGTCTAAAGAGGACTACCCATATATTTGTTGACAGAGTTTGCTTTATTCTATTAAGATACAAATATAAAAGGTATTTAATGATTATGTTTTATTTTGTCGTCCTTGAATCGTTCATATTACGCTTTTACTTCATTTTCTCAAAACCTTTTTGCAAGCTGAGAGTATTCACATAAACAACTTCTCTACTCCTCTGTGTAGAAGTAAGGTTCGCGTAATTGTTGCCCATGCTGATTGTTACTTTCGCTACTCTGGGTTTGTTCCAAATGCTTGAACTCATGGGATTAATAATTACCTGTACGTATTTAGAAATGACCATTTGATGATACAATACCAAGATCCTAAAGGTTATATTCTCTTTTCTTGAACTCATCATGATGCATTTTGATCAGGGACAGACCCAAGAATTTTTTGATACGGTGGCACCATATAAAGCAGTTACATCTTCTAGAACAAAACGGTTGCACCTTTCACGAACCTAATGTCTTTTACCTTACCACGGATGAACAATACGGTGACACATGCCACCCCACTTGTAATTGATGCATAGAAACTTGTATTTTAATGTTGATTTCTTTGTTTTGACTCCGTCAAAAGGGTACCATTTTCATAGATACTCAAAGGCTACCATTGTCCTTTTTATTTCAATTTTCATATCATTAAATAGGATCTATATGATGAAAAAATGTATGAAGTGAAATCAGAGTATAGAAAATATTGATTATATATTTTTATTTCTATTTGGTCATTATATGAGTTTGGAATTTTAGATTGCAAAAAAGATGTCAAATAATTGTGTTGTAAATTAGGCAAATTTTAGTTGCATCTCTAATTTATGTTATATGCTTAAATCATGAAACATATAAATTTATTATGTTTACTATCTATACTATATTATAAAGCATTTAGCAAAAACTTTTAAGAACCATTTTTCATGAATGAATTACTGTTTATTGATATATATATATATATATATATATATATATATTACTTACAATTCAAGATTACAAGTAAATTGTGCTTAAGTACAACTTATTAAAGCTCAATGTTTAAATTTGTGTAACTAAGTGCAAAAAAAATAATCAAATACAAGATAAACATCTAATTTTAAATATAAAAAATCTGAAATATAATTAGGATAATCATTGAGTTCTAACAGAAAACTTGATTATTATATGTATAAAAACTTTTATTTATTAAACCTAAATTAAATTACTTCGTTACGTTAAATTAAATTATAATAAAAAATTAGAATTAAAAAAAATTACACAAAACAAGAACTTTTAAATAATTAATTTGATACTAATATCGATATAATTTTTTCAAAATTTTATGATATTTTATTCAAAAATAAAAACATTATCGTTTTCTCAAAACCAGATAAAACCGTATTATATAGACATAGATAAAGAATAAACCGAAACGTTGAAATCGGGATGTGTCTCGATGCATTGCATGAGTACCCTTCTACTATTATTAAAGCATTTCCTTCAAATTCTTAAAATCTAAAAAATTCAAACTCTTTCACGATGTCTTATCTTACCGTATTTCTTATGGATGATTTTACTTTGGACAAAATGTAACAAAGTTCCAAATTTTCTTATTTTATATCTATCTTGTCCCGAACTAACTGTTCTTGTAACATTTGATAATGTACATATCTGATTACTAAAAGATTTTGAAATGCTTATGAAAGAGTTGCAGAGAACTGATGATAAACTTGGCATTGACATATCAAACGTTACATTAAATAATTTTCTTTACATTTGTTACATTAAATGGAAAATAAAAAATAAAAAAAAACTTTGTTTGTTTGTTACACTACATATGAACTGATTCGAACTTTGTTGCATTTTTAATACATTTTGTCATATAGTTTTGAATTTGTTCAAATATGAACTTCTGTTTTAAATTACAAGTTGTAAGAAATACAAACCATTGATGCACCAAATACGATATTGAAAGCTAAAAACAATCTAGGCCAATCGATTATTATCTAATCTGCCACATACAACCATAAAATTAACATCGAGAGGTAAAAAATAGAACAAAACATGAGACATTATTGTCGTTTCGAGTTAGCGGTTTCGGTTTTGATTTCGATTTCAAGACAGGGCCGTCCCTGGAGGAGGGCGGGCCGGGCGTACGCCCAGGGCCCTTAAAAATTAGGGGCCCAAATTTTTTTAATATATATAATAATAGTGCAAAAAAAATAGTAAATAGAAGACACATAAAAAAAATTAGTATCCAATATGACAAGAAAAAACTTTTGTACTACATTAACTATTAAAAACCCATACATGTATGAATTAAATATATTGGAGGAAAAAAAATACATAAAGAGGTTAATCTGTCGTTCATTATATAATATTATTTAATGTTTTTCTAAGTTTTTTTTTCTTTCTAAAACCAACGTCTAAAACTCTTTGTTTCGAGAACTTTGATATATTCTCCATAATTTATCTCTCATCGACTCTTTTGATTGTTCCATTTTCATGTGAATTCTATTTTTATATTAGAATATGATTGATTTTCTTGTTATTAGCTAAGAAAACCCTCATCTTTTGAAAAATTACCAACCATATAAGACGGCACAACTTAAATTTATATTTAGAATAATAAAACTATAATTGTTTTTTAATAGTTGTTCTTTATTATCTAATATTGAGTCTATAAATCTTATCTATTATTTTATCTCTAAAAGAAGAATAAGATATCAAACTATCATCAACATGAGTTTTTTAATTTATAAATTGATGATTCCAGAAAAGTTTGTTTTAACACTAACTCTATGTTCTTGAGTCTTTTTTTACGTAGAAAAGAGAGGAAAGTGATGGGAGGAGAAAAATATTTTGTTCTCGATATTTTTTCAAGAAAAGGAAAATAAAAAATTATATCAAAACTTATTTTTATTTCATTATTTTTTCTTTCTCTTTTCTTTATTAAAAACACAAATAAAAAACTTTATTTTCCTTCTTTCCTTTCATTTTTCTTTTCCTTTCTCATTATTTCTTTCCTTCCCAAATTCGAAAACATACTATAAAAGTTTAAAATGATGTTAATTTTCTCAAATTCGAAAACATAATATAATAGTTTAAAATGATGTTAATCTTCTCAAATTCGAAAACATAATGCAAAAGTTTAAAATAGTGTTAATCTTCCCAAATTCGAAAACATAAAATAAAAGTTTAAAATGTTGTTAATCTTCCCAAATTTAAAAATATAATATAAAAGTTTAAAATGTTGTTAATCTTTCCAAATTCGAAAATATAATATAAAAGTTTAAAATGTCGTTAATCTTCTCAAATTCGAAAACACAATATAAAAGTTTAAAATGATGTTAAAAAACATTAACATGAGATAACCAACTTGTTTACATTGTTTTACATAGTGTCATTCGGAAATAAGAAGAATCCACTTTATGACCCCAAATGATATCATTCTATGTACCACAAGTATATCATAAGATGTTTTTGATGATGAAACAAATTACTGATACTACATAAAAATGTTCTAGTAGATAATATTAATTTAAAAATGAGTATTGATTGATTTTGCGTCCAGAAATAATCGGAAAAACGTTTTTATATGAATTCAATGTTATTTCTAATATTAAAAATAATATATTGAAAAAATATCGTACTTATTGAGGGCCCTTTTTTACATTTCACCCGGGACCTAAAAAATGTCAGAAACGGGCCTGTTTCAAGATGCTTCACGCAGCATCTTGCGTGGATATATAACTACTTTAAATATAATGATAAGACACGTGGACCTATCTTGGGTGGCCATGTGTAACTAATTATAGTTGTAATATTAATTGTGTAAATTACATATATGATGATGATGATGATGATGATCTTATTATATAAAATGTAGGCGGCTAACATGTCATGTCTCTTTTGACTTTGTTGCTTTTTCATTTGATATCATATACATATTATTTTCAAAATGGTGTAAATATCGAAAAGATAGTGTTGATGAGCGAATTGTTCTACGGCATATTACAATCTTGTCTTGTCCAGTCAATAAAAAATAACATAATATATTTATTTAACTTAAAAGGGTTGTGTATTAAATACTTACTTGATAAATGTTTAACATATAAATTTTCTCATTAGATGATTATGAGAAGGGTCAAAAATCTTACCAAGTAAGAGCGATGAGAAGGATGAAGAGTCTTACCCGAATAAACGCTTACCTAATAAATTGTTGCATTCCATATGGTTTGATCTACTAAAAATCTTACACATCAAAATAAATTATAGTGTTGAATCTTATTAGTAAACATTTACCGAATAAGTATTTGAGTAAACAATCTTTTAATATAAACACGTATATATCATGAGAATATTTTTTATTATACATGAACTACTTGTGGATTACAAGCATTAATAAAAATGACCAATAACTATGGATATAATATTTTTAATTTTACACATTTCACAAATATGTAGTCAAACTAACCCCTCTTTTTCATTTCTTCCTTTTAAGTCTCATAAACATTCTTATAATCATTTTTAATAGTATGGCTAATAATATGTTGGAATCTAGGTCTTTAATCACTTTTTTTCTTTTTGGAGGTTTTGGTGAGATATTTTGTAATAGATTGTAAATGTATAATTGTTTTTTCATAGTTTTTT